CCCGTTATAAATCTATTTTTTCTTTTACACACCGCCCCATCAAATAACTTCTTTTACACCCCAAAACTCACGAAATGCTATGCGATATTACAGTCGCATGTCCAAATAAACCAGCGCATATCCAAGCGGACGCATAATTTATGACTATGCGAAAACATTTTGCATTTTTGTAATCGCATATCCACATCAAACGCATAATTTACAAATATGCTAACATCTTTCGCAGTTTTAAGAATCGCATATCAAAATCGAATGCAGCATAATTTACGATGATTATGCGCCTTATTTCGCAAGGCTATATCGACCTTGCAAATTTATGATTGTGCGAAAACTTTTCGCATATAATTCGCATTATTTGTTGAATTCGCATTTTCTGGAAATTGCATATCCAAGTCAATCGCATAATTTACTAGTATGCGAAAAACTTTCGCATATATCCGCCAGATAAATGACAATGATGCGACATTTTTTCGCTCGCATATTGAAGAATCGCATAACAAAATTGAATAAAGCATAATTTAATTGACGATTACGCGTCATTTTTTCGCAGGGCCATATCGTCATGGAAATTTTACGACTATTCGGAATTTGATCGCATATCTGTCGCATAAGTTACGCACCTCATTAATTGACTGTTTTTTCACAGGTGAGGATTTTGTCTGTGCATTTATCATGCAGGCAAAAAAACAGTGATCTCTAACAATTCAACGTCTGCACCATTCTTCTATACTGCAATTTTTTGTTTCTTTAGTTTTAATTCCTTTTGTTGTTCACTTATTTGAATGGCTAGCACCCGTGTTAGAGTATGCGTGAGCTATGGTGGTACGTTTTCCGGGGGTTCATATCTTGGTGGAGTGGCAGAGCTGATGAGAATAAATTACGGCCGACAAATGTATTCTGAAGTAGTTTCTCGTGTTTAAGCATTATTGAAAGCCGATCCTTGTAATTTTGAGTACATATTATGGGCAGTATTTGATGGAAGGGAACGAAAAGTGAAGATGAAAATCGAATCCAGTGAGGATATCTTAGAGCTGATTGAAGAACAAAAAACTCCCAACATTTGCGTGGAGTTGGAGAAGCGAGTAAATGCAGGTGTTTCGGGGACGGCGCAACAAAGCTTCACGCAAATGATGGCGTCCCAAGGTGTATTTCCGAGTTCTTTTGGTGTTAGTAGTTCTGCATTTTCCCACGAGGCCCCATATTCACATCAAGCAAGCTTTAGTTCATTTACACATACTGGATATCCTCGGGGCGCTGATGATCAAACCGCGGGTTGTTCGAACCAACCAGGTCATTCTCGTGACGATGACAATAATGATGACCAAACCAACACGCACAATGGTGACTCAGGAGACGAAGACAAAGAGGTACATGAGAAGGAAATTTTCAAGCTTTTCAGGACGTGGTATAGCGAGCATATTGAAGAGCTAAGATTAATCACCGACCATATTGAGGTTGAAAGTCTTGCATATATGAATCGAGGTAGCACCCGGCAATCCGACGTTGAGCCACGAATGTGGTCCCTTCCTATGTTGCCCACGACAACTGGATCAGATAGATAACCCATCCACTTGCCCTCGAACAATATAGAATTATCTTTGGGGTCTGTCTTTCTTTCGAAAGAAGAGTTGATTTGTGCCATTCAACTGTATCACTTGCAACAAAAAGTTGAGTGTCGAACACCCAAATCCTGCACTTCTAGGTTACAGTCTGTTTGTCTGTTTGTCGGTATGAAGGGTGTTCTTACAAGTTATGTGCAAGGGCAAAGTGAGATGTATGAAGAATCACTACTTTGAAACTCGAGCATACATGTGAAGGGATTTTGACGCACAATCGACACTGTTCGGCTAATTCCAAGGTTCTCGCTTGTTTGTCCCGTTTTTGTTGCTATTTTCGTTGCTATTTTGTGTGTTGTTTTCCCCCGTTTTAGGTCTTCTGTTAGGATTTTCCGGTCCTTTTTAGTCATTCTCGAGTCTTTAGTATTTTTCGTTGTGTTTAGCATTATCGTTGTTATCTCTTTTATTTTCGCTTGCTTTTGTGTGTGTTCGATGGTGGTGTTTTCAGGTTCCCAGGAGTTCTGCGTCGGTTTGTGAGATTGGAGCATTTGAGGATTGAGTTTTAGCTCGAGGAGGGCCCGAGGGACGCTAGCCGAGATCACTCGAGTCCAAGTCGACAATTTTTTGGAGCAGTCCAGGCCATAGCGCCGCTATGCCCATAGCGCCGCTATGGCCTGTTGAGAAAGCGGCGGTTTGCGGTAAAGCGATGGGCTGCAGCTAGGGGTATTCCAGCCATAGCGGCGCTATGACCATAGCGCCGCTATCCCCTGCTCGTAACCGATAGCGTTTTTCGCGGATTTTGAATTTGGAAAGCATAAGGGTCGAGCCTAGGGCATATGGACAGACATTCAGACTCGTTTTTATCATATTTTACACCTTAGAACACTACTTTTTCTTAATCTTTCATCTTGAATTAGCTTTTGAGATTGAAGAACTCGTTTTCTAGCTTTTAGATTCGGTTTGCTCGTTGTTTCATCAACATTGGATTTGGTATTAATCGTAAGCTTTTCTTTTCATCTTATACATGAATGTGATGGCTTCTTTTATGGTGAATGCTTGTGTTGATATTGTGATGAGTGGCTAATTCCATAAGTTAGGGATAAGGGACGATTGTTTCGGTTCGTTTTCAATTATGTGTTTGATAATTGTTCAATCCTTGCGAGTTGTACGTATTCTAGGGTTAGTTGATTGATCCCCAATCTAACCTAATCAATCGACGTTTAGAACCGAAAGGGGAGGCGTCGGTCGATCTAGGCTCGTTTGGAATAGACTTGTTCGTTATTGTATTGTCTATGTGTTGTAGGGTTTGATGAGTTGCTCGTGTATGTTCACCTTCTTGTTACGAAGAGTTATTGAGGGTGAACCTCCATACGAATAGGCGATTCAAACCCCTTAACCGAGCAATTGATTGCCCGGTAATTGAGTCAAGAACCGAAAACGATTGTCCCAGACTCCCTAACTCCTTTAAAATCAAGTTAATCGTTTGCTTTAAATTTTCGTGTCTCTTTGCTTTATTACTCGTAGTTGATAATCAAACCCCCAATTTGAATTAGAGTGTTTAGGACTTTCTTTTCTCTTTTCTTGTGATTGAATATCCGTACAAATAATCCGGCTAACCTTCCTCGTGATATGACCCGGTGTCAAATCTTTCGATTCTGCTCCGGTAAAAATACTTACAACATCGCTCATATTTACGCATCAACTATTCAGACAAATCCCCAGACGGTATCTACACGGAGAATTATTGAACAAATTCGGGAGGAGCATGGTTTGTCGATCAGCTACAATGTGTCCCTCCGATCAAGACACCGTGCTTTTGAAAAAGTTTATGGAGGTCATGAAGAATCATGGGGGCGGCTTCCCAGTTACTTGCACATGTTGCAGGTTCGTAATCCAGGTACAATTATCGAACTGCAATGAGATGGCGAGGTATTCCAACACTTGTTCTTTGCTCTAGGAGCTAGCATTGAGGGCTTTCAACGAGCTGGTGTCCTGGTAATTGTGATAGATGGTACCCACTTGAAGGGAAAATACAAGGGCATTATGTTTGTTGCAGCCACATTGGACGGGAATCACCAAATCTTTCCCCTCGCAGTTGGCATTGGTGATGTAGAGCGTCATGAGACTTGGAGTTGGTTTTTGACTCAATTGAAAAGGGCCTATGGTTGTCCTGATAACCTCCTCATCGTATCGGATAGACATGAGTCTATCATATATTTTTTCCCAATAGTGTTCCCCGAGGCGCATCATTCATTTTGCTGTTATCACATCACAAAACAAATGAGGCCTTTTGGGAAATCTGTCTTGGGCATATTTTACAAGGCGGCATATTGTTATCGGCGTGAAAACTTCTATCGTTACTTGTCATCCATCCAAATCCTAAAACCCGAAGCATTTAAAAAGCTAACTAATGAAATTCCGTAAATGCTTGGGCTTGGTGTTTTACACATGTACGGCGCTATGGATTCATGACATCCAATTCATGCGAAAGTTTGAACAACAAACTCCGTTGGGCCAGGATGTTACCCATTTGCTCGTTGTTGAAGTGTGTTCGAGCAACGATAGAGAAATGGTTTGCTGTTCGGCGTGCATCCGCCGAGGGTCGCAATCATCCGCTAACGCAGTGGACTCAATTGCGGTTGGATCCTTTGTTCGAGAAAGGTCGTCGTCTATCCATTACCACACTCGGCATGCAACGTTATAGGGTTATGGAAGAAACACGATCCTACGTGGTAGATTTAGAGGCAAGAACATATGATTGTCGTGTGTTTGAAACAGATCTACTGCCTTTTGCTTACATGCATCTACGGCTATTCGGTAATATTTACCAAAAAACATTATCGCTTTTTTCTTTAAAAAAAATTGCTATATTCTAATATGATGTGCATTTACGATATGTAACAGGGAAGTCGGGTTAGATATAATGGATTTCGTTAATGACCATTACAAAACCTACTCAGTTGCAAGGATGTACCAAAGCACCGTTAGCCCCGTCCCGCATCCAGATGAATGGCACTTGCCCCCGGAAATTATGCGTAAAAAGGTAATTCCGCCAAATTATCCCAAACAAGCAGGTCGGCCACGGACTCAACGTTATTCCGCTGGAGAAGGATCATCACGTCGAGTGCGGCGTCAGCAGATGTGCTCGCGGTGCCAGGTCACCGGGCATAATAGGGCGAAGTGCCCTCTATACGGTGGTGATAATGACTTTTTTTTTCAAATGAAGAAGGTCAAAACGCACCAACTCCTCATCCAAGACGCCCAGGAGATGTCGTACATGTAAAGAAACAGGTCACAAATCCTCATCTTGTCCATCACGTCCAATCCATGACAATTAAGATGAAGATGGAGTTTTTAATTATAAACCAATTTAACGAAAACAATACTTTTAACGGGAAAAATACTGTGTTGGTGCCCTAAGTTGTGACCTGCACACGATTGACTAACAAAAATTAGTGAAACTGGGTTGATTGCGCGATTCGCATAACATGTCCCATAATAATCGCACAATTGGGTTGATTCGATTCCCATATCATATCCCATAATAATCGCACAACTGGGATGATTCGCCTAGTCTTCAACCGCATAATTAACGAATCGTATATCCAAATCGAAAGCCGCATAATTTACGACTATCCGCCATTTTTTTCGCATATCCATATGGACTGCATTGATTGATTGTCTGCACCGCATATCAAAATCGAAAGTGCTTCGCATATTATTCTCATACGTTACGCACCGCATTGTCTGCACCGCATATCCAAATCGAAAATGCTTCGCATATTGTTCGCATAAGTTACACACCGCATTGATTGATTTTCTGCTTTTACACCTAAAAAACAATGACGATTTGTATGCTTCCTCATTTAGTTGTCAAGTTGATATATATCTCTACCTAGCCTTTAAGTGCTATCTGTATTTAACCTTTCATTCTCTTTGTTGAAGAAGCGACCTTTCACTTCTCAAAACCCTATCTTTCCATCGCAGCAAAAAAA